GAGATCGAATAATCCAGGAGCTTGCGACCGGGTTGCGAGGGGTCCTGGAGAGCATGGCCTGTGTGGTAGTGACGAAATGACGAGCAGGTATCGAGTTTTCAGCGGGAAATGTGGGCCAGGTATTATGCCAAGCCATCGAAGGGAAGCCATCATCAGCGGTTGTCTGGAAAAGTAAAAATAGAAAAACGCAGTCTGGGGTGCTCCCAGCTGAGGATCAGCGGTCAGTAGTAAAGAAAAACTTCTAGTATCTAGAAATTGGAACTACTTGGGGGATGGTTCGACTTTGCTAAACACAAGGTTTTACGCGAAAGATTATTGAAACTTGAGTGGTATTTACGGCGACTTGTGTGGTACGTAGGTCTCGTGGCCCCTGACTCAGACCCGCGTGCCAGTAACCCAAGCCAACTTCGTAAGCTTGCTCTTCCGAAGCGTATGTTTCATTGTTTGATACGAGTGTCAGTACAGCGAGCAGTCTGATTAATTCCCCTTTAAATCTCGTTAAGTGGCCTATTGCACGGACATTTGGTGGAAGTTTATTCCACATTTGTGAATATTTAACAATGAAGAAATTGGACCGTAGGCTGGTTCTCGAGGACGGCACGGTGACCGAATGACTGCTGTGTCGTAACGAATACCTTAGGCTTAATGGGTCTCGTACCACAGGGGAAGCTTTGCAGGATCTATATTTTAATAGTGAGTGGAAAAAGGGTAAGTTGTTCTTTATCCGTCGGAGCCAAAGGGGTTCGAGGTGTAGCAGGTCACAGTGTTGTTTATAGTTGAGACTAGACGAATATCCAACTATTTGTTTAGTAAAGGTGCGTTGGACATTTTCAATGGCAATCCTATCAGTCTGGCGCATGTTGGAGCCAACTATTGAACTATACTCTAGCAACGGTCCTACGTGTGTTGCATAGACACTGAGTTTATTTTCACGCAAACGGAATGTTTTGTGGACAAGTCCTATTAACCTGCGGGACCTAGCAATTTGAGTGTCTCTTTGCTCCGAGAAGTTGAACAAACAGGAGTAGTATATGCCCAGGTCGCGTACTGATGATTTGTTGGGGATCAGGTGACCACCTATACTAAACGTTTCGGGAGGGACATGACACTTGTATGTAAGAATGCAGCTTTTGTCCGCCGAGAACTTCATTAGACAATCGGTACACCACGAATTGAGCATCCGCAAGTCCTCCGATATTTTTGCTATAGTATTACCTAATGAATTATGGTTATAGGTGTACAGCTACTTTGCATCATCAGCAAATAAAAAACGGAGTTCCATGGCGAACTACGGTAAACATATCCCTTATGTACGTGAGGAACAACAACGGGCCCATTACACTACCTTGGATCACACGGTTGGTTACAGGGCTGGGTGGGGAAGTTGTGCCATCAACGTTTACCACTTGACTGCACGAGGACAAGTACGATTCTAGCCAGGCATATAGTGGGTCAACAATGCCGAATGTCTTAGCCTTTGACAACAAACGAATGTGAGACACACGGTCGAAGGCCTTAGACATGTCTAAAAAGACTGAGATCACTGCCTTACCATCATTGGCAGCTATCGTAATAAGGTTCAGAAAGTCAGTCATACAAGTTGCACAGGATCGATGTTTTAGGAAACCGTGCTGACCTTCACTTGTAAGGTGGTTTTTAAGGAGGTGATTTGTTAGTTTAAGTTTTATTAATCTTTCCATAATCCTCGATACTACTGGGGTATGATTCACAGGCCGGTAGTTGGCCGGGTCCTCCCGTGTTCCCTTCTTATGAATTGGAATAATAACCGACGTTTTCCACTGTGTAGGATACCAACTAAAGCGCATAGACAAGTTGAATAAATTCGATAAAAGAATTGGGATATCTGGGCCACCCAATTTAAAGATGGCCGATGGTAACGAGTCCGATCCGGGGTGGAAAGACATTTTGATATTTGGAATTAAAGGCTCGATTTCGGAGGGCAGGAATGTTACAGCAGAAAGTGGCTCATATGATGGTACTGGTGGATTGCAGAAAAATGGTGCCGTGTCACTAATTAAGGAAGAAGCAAACAACGTGTTAAGCGCTTCTGCAATGTCCAGCGGTTTGTCGAGGCACGTGTTATTGAAGGAGATAGAAGAGATAGATGAAGTTGTTTTGGGGTTTCTCGACTTCATCAGTTTTGCAAGAATCTCGACTTTCTTGGAATCACGTAAGGCCCTGAGTTCCTGTTGTACCATTTCACTCTCGGAGTACAGTTTTATCGTTTCAGCCAGACGATTCAACTGTTTAAACAGCGAAAAGTCCCTTGTTTTAAGATAAACGCGTTGGAGTCTACTTAACTTCAAGTTGAGACGAGACAGTTTATTGTCCTTAGGGCGGATTGACGACCCTCGTGACGGAGTTATTCGGTTGAGGCATCGTTCAAAGATGGAGTAAAGTTGATCTGCCGCCAGCTTGGGATCTGCACTTAAAAAGAAGGTGTCCCAATTTTGGCTCCTAATCAGAGAAGGTAGTATATTCCAGTTAGCCTTATGATATGGTCTATGCGGGGGTGTCGGCTGTTTATCCTTTATGGGCACTGTGAAGCAGCGGTGGACAGTTGCGTGATCACTTCCGGGTAGGTTATTCTGAACTTTTGTTACAACCTGGGTTAATCCTATTGACAAGATTAAGTCAAGAGTGTGGTCGCGTCTGGTTGGGGACGTGACGTGCTGCTTCCATCCTCCTAGGTGAATAGCATTCAAAAACTGTAGTAAATGGCGTGGTGCTGTGAGTGATGTCCAGCATATTTCTGGTGCATTAAAGTCACCAGCTATTAATTTTGGGCCTATTTTAAGATCACTGATCAGGTTGAGTGCCTCTATAATTTGCTTGAAACTATTAGGACTAGATCTAGGCGGACGGTATACGCAACCTAGTATCAGTTCTTGACGTTCAACTTCAACGTTCAGCTATACAGAGTCGACAATGCCGTCTAGGATAGGGTGCTGAAAGCTTGTCGCCCTGAGAGTTTCCTTTACATACACTAGACAGCCTCCTCCACGTTGATGTGTTCTGCCTTTGCTGAAGGATTTGTAGCCGAGTACCTCAATATCCTCTACTAGATAGAGGTCCGATAATCAAGATTCCGTCACTAAAATGAAGTTATAGTCATTTGTTAGTGCAGCTGATCTTATGTATTGGATTTTGTTCCTAATAGATCGTGCATTGACCAACAGCAATGTGAAAATTTCAGTGCTTCTGACGTCATCATTGATATTAGTACTTACCGTTTGTTGACTGCTGCGTTTAACCTGGAAAGAATCATCAGCGCAAGATGCAAGCCCGCCCAAGTTGTCATTAGCAAAGGGAGGACTTGGGTCTGCGTGTGGAATAAAAAATGACAGGGTATTAGGTATTACGCTACTATAGGGATGATTAGAACAATTCATAATAGGCATATCTAGGTTATAGGGCCATGTTGTGCCCACGGTACGTATGGAAAAAAATAGGCACTTTGGCTAGATATGGGGTACCCGCTGGTAGATGGTAGGATATGCGATGCGCTTGGATAGTTTAACGGAGGGGGAGGTAGGAAAGATGGAAATAATGGGAGATTAGGCTGATGGGAAGGTTCCATTAGTGCGGAGTTAATAATGAAAGCAGTTCGTTCATCAAACCATCTATTTTTATTATGGGTATGGTCCCATTGTTGTTGCATCATCATCTTGAAAGCGCTATTTTGTTTCATATGTTGAGAGATGCGAGGGTATCCCAAATGAGGGAAGTCGGTCGGTGCCGAATTCGGTCTAGAGAAAGAACGATCATTGTCATTGTTCATGCATCCCCGTATTGTTTGCCCGCACGGAGACTTAGCCTTGGCAACTAAACTCTCGTTGACCCTTTCTTCTGGACGGTTCTTTATTGTCAGCGACATACGTGGCATACGAGTGGCACGCATGAACCTTTCATCAGTTTTTAAACGGGAGCCTATGGGGACAGATATTAGAGCTGCAGGTTTTATTTCATTGGGAACTTGAAGTCCCGTGGAACGGTCGACCGGAGCTGGAGGCGTATTGTGAGGACCCTCCTGGGATGAGCTTGTAGGTGTTGTCGATATGTGTTGTCGTTTTGGCTGGGGGAGCTGCGGGGAGGTGGGGAAAGATTCGTCCAGATCAACTAACCCTGTGGATCTTCTAGGGGTAGAAGAGTGAGGGGTTTCGTTGATCCTTGGTAAGGTGCTTGAGGAAGAGGGTGACTTCGGGATCTTAATGCCAATGTGATTAGAATTTAAAGCTGCACATCGTATCACTTCCCTTTGTAGTGGCGTTCTATCAGCTTGTATCTTGATGGATTTAAACTGTGAAGCAGTTGAGACTATACGCTGTTTAGTAATGAATTCTCTAGCGATTTTTTCATCCGTAAATCGGAATAGAAGGGGACAAGAGTGCCCCAAGTAGCACGTTGCCCAACCCTGTTGGGCACTGCCCAAAGGAGCGTTGGGGTGGCGCACGAAGACGATACTTTTCAACAGAAATCGCATAGATCCTCCTGAACTGCAGGGCGCCGTTTGTATATATAGATTTCGTACAAATAAGTAACAAACATTTCTATGACATTTGCACACTTTTTGTTTTACTGCGTGCCCCCGTGACCGGGTGGCCATCATTAGTTTCGTTCATTGTTCGTCGGCAGGTGAGTGTTTTTATCGGTGCGTAGTTGCGGTAGGTGGTCTAATTGTCTAAGTATCATGGATAAGTATCGGTTAGATTGTATAGCTACTGTTACGTCGTCTTATTCTTGTATCGTAGGTATTAATTGCTTGAAACATTTCTTTATTCATATGAAATTAGAAGTTTCTCTCGACGTTGTTATAATGGAGGTAACCAGTATTTCCTAGAAAATAAATTTCATTATTAAAATGGTTACCCGTTGAAACCTATCCTTTCATCATTTCTCAATCCCATAGGTAACATTTCGTTATGCCGAAAGAGAGCAAATGGCAAAGGTATAGGAGGAGAAAGAGGGAACTGGGTTCCATGCTGTGTCCCATATGTCACGATGCCAGTTTGTGGGAGCACAGAACTTCGTGTCCCAAAGAAAGAACTTGGAGTATGCTCTTATAATGGATTTATTCATTTGAGTTTTTGAACAGCAGTTACAGCTAGCACTTCCGGTGCATTTGTTGAAGCGGAGCCACGACCTCCGGAGGTACAAACAGTAGGAGTGCCCGGGGACCTAATCAGTGTAGATACACTTCCCATTGGGTGCACATCCGTGGGGTTTGTTCCATCGGGTAAGATGCTATCGTTTCTATATTGCGTATTTTTTAAAGCGACGGAAGATGTGCAGCTTGGAAGGAATATATCCATTACCATTAACGTGGATGTGCTGCAACAGTGGCTGTCCGATTTGTTCGTCAGCTCAAACTTGAGCATGAAACAGCGGCGAGACGTACTTTCCTGTGTGGGCAAGTTTGTGCCGGGCCTCCCGCGCGATCCACGTACCACTTCTCATACACCACGTTCGTGTGAGAAAATTCAGCTACGCAGTGGAATATATATTCACGTTGGGCTGACAGACGGGATAAATATGTGCCTTAGCAGCATGGATATTATTCCCAGTTATATCGATCTACACGTGAATATAGACGGGCTGTCGTTGTTTCGGTCATCTTCCGTTCAGATGTGGCCGATTTTGGCAAGGATAGTGCAGCCAATGTGTGCGCAAATCATCACTGTTGGAATTTATTGTGGTGTTCAAAAACCATATCCAGTGCATGATTACTTATGTCACACCGTGAGAGAGCTCGACCAACTTCTGCAAAATGGCCTAAGCTATCGTAATTCTTCCATACGATGTTGCTTGAAGGCCGTTATCTGTGATACTCCAGCTAGGGCCTTTGTTCGTCAAATCAAAAGTCCTGCTGGTTATTTCGGCTGTGATAAATGCAACCAACGCGGCTTGCATATTGATGGGAGGAAGACGTTTTCCGTCGTCGAGGCTACCTCAAGAACGGATGAAAATTTTCGCACCGGGAAATATCATCGTCATCACATAGGCACCACCCCGTTTCTATCCCTACCCATCGACATTGTGACTACATTCCCGTTGGATTATATGCATTTAATATGCCTTGGGGTAACCCAGAAACTACTTTTCACCTGGCTGAAAGGCGGTCGTTCATCACCTTGCCGTCTGAGTAGGTCGGGTGCGCAGGAACTTGGCGACCGAATTCTGGAAACCCACGGTGCTCTTACTTGTGACTTCCAGCGCAAATGCCGTCACACGCGTGATATCGAACGCTGGAAGGCGACGGAATTTCGCCAGTTCCTCTTTTACCTGGGTCCTGTTTGTTTGGTTGATTTATTACCCCATGATTTCTATGACCATTTTTTACTTTTGCTTGTTTCTGTATGTATTTTTCGCATCCCATTTAACATGTCCACTTACTAGATTTCGCTCACGGAATTTTGCGTGTTTTTGTGCAGGAGATGCCGAAGTTGTATGGCCCCAATTCAATTGTGTACAATGTTCATTGTCTGACTCATCTAGCAGAGGATGTGAGAAGACATGGAACTTTGGACCGCTTTTCATGCTTCCCTTATGAATCTCATTTGGGCAAGCTAAAACGTTTGATGAAAAGGCCGGCTAGACCAGCGGAGCAGTTGTACAAGCGGCTGCACGAAGTTAACACTGCCCGCTGTAATCTGCAAAAAGATTCGGTCCTAGATGACACGCTCCTGCCTATACCACGTTTCAGTAAAACTCCGTGTTCTTGTGTTGTTAATGGTATATTTTTCTCTAATGTACATCCAAATAATATCATTGTGATAGACAATAAACCTGCGACTATTGTCAATATTTTGAACGATGAAGTTCACTTCATCTATTTTAATATCCTTGGAAACTTTTTTACGCACGCGTTGCGCTCAATGCGTTTATTTATCTTTTCAGTAAACGGATAGCAGTCAGACATCCATACCGCTGCCATTCACACAGTCTCCTGTAAATGTTTACTTTTATCCGTCAATTCTTACAATGTGTGTATTCCCATTTTACATACCTTTTTATAAAATTTTTGGTTCCACAGCTGTTTTCCCTTTATACATATATATATATATATATATATATATATATATATATATATACGTGGCAGTTTTTGTTCGTGGAAAGCACCGACGAAGGTGGCATCTGTTTTCTACACATAATTATTCTTGTTTAGATTTACGTCGGGGTCAAGTTTGTAGACGACAGTTCGTATGCTGTGGTTCACAGCAATTGGATGGTCGATTGCCACCGAGTCCGGTGGCCGCGGTCAAAAAGTAAAGGCGCTTACCGGCAGTTGCTGCTTTCGGGTGCGTCACTGCCTTATTCGGTTCCGGCACACGAATTTGTGGAGATGTTTGCCACAGGTAAATGTTTTTAAATGTAACTCTCCTAGACAATTTCGGGGATGCTTTCGTTTTCAAAAGTAGGCTTCTAAACAAATCCTCAATCTGCAGCACAGATGACACTGTGCCACAGACACTGTTTGGCCAGCGCTATTCAGTTCGCAGGAGGTAGGAAGGATTATGAGTTAACAATGTTTAAAGGGTACCGACACAGTTAACGTCGGATGACAGTTTCGAGGAGGGGCGCACGTTGGTATCTCGTGAACCCCGTGGATCTTTCGACATGCCGCCGTCTCCGCCACCTGTTTTGGAGAGAGCACTTTGCGTTCCATTGTAAGACAACTATTTTATTCCTGTAAAACTTGTGCATTTAGTTTATCTGACACAATGCCCAATATCACGTCAACCCCAATTGCGGCACGCGAACCTCCGGTTACTGTTATTCACCGGAGTCCATTGAAAGACCATGGGTAACCGTAATTATCAAATGTTATGAACAACTAATCATATAGTAACGTTACTGCTTCCGCAACAAGCGAAGGGCCAATGGACAGATTCAGCAAGGATCTGCGTGAAGTTATGCGTGAGTGACTAATACATATAATCATGTATGATTATAGGTACGATGAACGCCATGAGCGACCGTTTCCGCAAGGTCGAACGTGCCCCTGATGGGCTAACCGTCGCGTTGGGTGCCACGCACGCATCAGCTGTGCCATCCAAGGCGCGAAGAGCCGAGACGTGGGGGGAATTTCAGAAACTCCACGAGACTCTGAGCTCGCCCGAAGTGTATGCGAGCATGGTAAGTATATCCACTTTAACTGAACCTTTTCAGGTGGCAACGCTCAAACGGTTTGCGGATTGCGATTTGGCTGAAACCGTGCGTAGCATGCTTTTCGCATCCATCGGCGACGAAGTTTCCCTTCACTGTTGTTGGCTAGGGAGCCCTCAAAGGAAGGCCGTAAACGACCATAAGTTGATCACCGCCGTTAAGGGTAGGTTGTTCACATTTATTATCATACAAAACGTCAGATGCTATAAAAGGAATGGAGCGATTCTCCAACGAGCCAACGTCTGTCATTGACAGACATAGAAAGCGCTGGTTCATCAACGCTCGGGATCGAGGCGAAGGAAGACGGCTAAGACGGTACGCTATTCTCCTATATGTGGTGTCGCATAACAATTTTATTTCCTGCAAATTGCTTCGTTAAAATGTTTTGCCATTACGGTTTACATTGCTTTATATGCTTACTTGGACATGGGATTTATTACCGGTTTCTCCGTTGTAACTTAGCAGTTTCCTAAATGGAAATTTTGTCTAGTGTCTAGTAATATAGTTGAATATATATATACATATATATAAAATCTAGTGCGGAACTATTGTCCTTTAAATGCCTACCGTTTAAAACTCGCGATACAGATTTTTTCTTCATTTGCCAATGATGTAACTAACATCCGCATTTCCCTGAATTGATTTTCCAGATCCCGTGAGCATCAAGAAGAAGAGCCAGGAACATCCTCGCGGAGAATGGATTGATGGAAAAGCGGCTTTTTTGTCAAATAAATCCGACTTTATTTCCAATAAATTTATCTACATTTTTAATAAAATGGTCATTTTGCTCATATATATAGGGTTAATTTAGTAGTTAAGCTCGAAACGAAGGAGAATAATTTAATGATATTAGGCGATTGGGCGAAATTAGAATAATTGGCGAAAAGTGAAAAGCCGTTTTTCGCGATTTTTTCGATGCGTTGGGCATGCCCAACCCTAGCCCAATTGGGCGCTGGTAGCTCTGCCCAACGCATTTCAATAGAGTTGCCCAACGTTGCGATGGGCAAGCCCAACGTTTGCCCAACCCTAGCCCAATTGGGCAAAAGTTAGGCAGTGCTGCTTGGGGCTTTTGTGACCTTTTTCTTAGTCTTCTGCAGTGACATGGAAAGTGGGCCATGCCTGCGGCTTGAAGGATAGTGGATTTAACCATTGTGATGTCCAGCCGATCTGGGATGTTGAAAACAACTGCATTTTTGCATTCTGCAGCCGTCGCAGGATTTCCGACGCCACGGAGTCAAGGGGACCGGGGAGTGCCGAGGGCTCCAGAAGGTAGGTTAGTGGTGTTAATTTAGATAATATATCATCAACCGATGCAATATGGGTAGACATACTTACCAAGTTATAACGTGAAAGTATACTTTCGATGGCACTGGCCCTTCTACTGGCTTCTCCAAATATTTCTATCATATTGGGGGTATCTTTGTGTTCGGGTCGTTTGGGTTTCTGATTGGCTGTAGAGCGAGAAGCCACTGGCCGAGACCGTTTGCTGGTTGACCTGGCCATTTATTTTTACAGAATATTGTTGGTAGGCGATTTGATCTAAGATGATGACTAACGGATAGACCACCCAAGGGCGGGTAAGAACAGCTACTGCTGTTTTATTTTTGTAGTTAACTCTGGGTCGCTTTCGAATTATGAGGGACTAGTAGTTTGGACAAGGTGTGGATTTCTTAAACATGGCAATGGTGAAACGTTTAATATAGGTTGCTGGTGAAATATTCCTAGAATAATTAATATGAAAAATTAGCGAAATCTACAAAAACCTCGCCGTGATGTAGCGCAATGACAAAAAAAATGTGACTTTTGGTAAATGGAACGGGGTTTCTCGAATTCCTTTACATCGGCCCAAAATCCCGGCCCGAAATTTTCTCGTATACCGCTAGGTATGGTCGGCCTCGTGCGCCGGTTCGCCCCACGGTTCTTCGATAACTGGAACAGCCCACCGGTACACGTAGTCTATGTAAAAATTAATGTTGTTTGCTTTATGATTGTTGGTGAATGGAACAGAGTTTCTTAAACTTCTTTACAATCATTATGTGGCACTTTTTCCAATGTACCTATTTTGTTAATGCTAAAAGGTTGTGGTAACACCCCACTGAAGTTTGACACGGTATCTTTATACTGACTCGATAACCACTGCCGAAGTGAATGAGCGGCTGTTGATCTTATCAGTCGGGCAGTGAGTTGTGGCCAAAAGCAATGCATAGACCTGGTGAAGGACTAGGGAATCCAGTGGGATCAGTCTTACCTACAGCATTACCAGAAGAGCTTCAAGTTGGCGGAAAGAAACCCCGAGATGCGAGTCGAGCAAGCATCCCTAATGTAGATATACGCCCACGGTTTCGCGTTGGAAAACAAGTGCTCGAGCTTAACTCGACAGGGAACCAGGAAAAATGCACAGCTCTATGATGGCGTAACAAAGGCCTGGGGGAGCAAAGTGAAGCAACAGCTTATTGGAAAAGGAAAACAGTATGGCAAATCAGAAAACCATAAAGAGGGAAACTCGAGCCCAGAGATAAAACCTAGAGGGAGCATATCCCAACAAAGTAGAAAAAAGCATCCCGATGAAAGTAGCATCACCTAAGCAGCAGGTCAAACACTCAGAGGCTGAAATGCACGGCAGTCGGCATGACACGGAGGCCATGGCAGACGGAAGCATGAGAATTCTAATTCATAACTTTGGGGTAAAACGTCTTAGAGGACGACGGAATAAGGAGGGATGAAAACCGTCGGCACGTGAGTGAGGTTCTTAGGATGGCTGGCCCCCTCCCATGACACCAGTAGTTAGGTGCTATGAGATAAGGCTGTGGTGAGTAATGCTTCCAGCTCTGCCACAATCCCTAGTAGCAGTTTTCCATTGGGTCTACCGGGGAGATATTCTGCTATCCAGGGAAAGGGAAATCGAGGGCAACAAGCTGAGAGCAGTGAGGGTTGCTTCCGACAGTGCGGCTTTTCTCATACTTGTAGGGCCATAGTCTCGTTGATAACGGGCAAGCCTGACCTGAAGCGGCCGGATCCCCATACAACAAAGCTGGAGATGACCCTTCTTGATAAGTCAAAGCCTGGAGCCCGAAGGATACGTCAGTCCTCCAAGGTGGCGTTGGAAGCCGGTAGGTGACAATCCAAAGTTCACGCGATTTGAAGGAACAAAATGGACTCACAGAGCTTCCAGTGCAGCTAACCAGCCCGATTCTGAAAGGGGCCCCCAAAAATCTGCCCTTGTTTAATTAGTGAAGGTGGAGGAGCCAGAGAGAACAGCCAAGAAAGGCAGCTGGGCCGAGTTAGTTGAAAGACCAGCCCTAGCAGTCGGCATAGTGCCTCAAAAGTAAGGTGCGTCCTATGTGCCCTGTTAGCCCCAAAACCCGGGCAGTGGGTGGGAACGAAAAGGCCAGGAAATTTGGGGCGTCACTTAATACTCCAGATTCAGAACGGCCGAAATCTGTAGAGGCGAAAAGGGGCAGCGCCTAGGAGATCGTGCTCGAGGGTACTCTTGCTGTAAAATTCGCAATAAGTTGAGCAGCAAGGACCAGGGAACCGTCAGTCAGTTACGCAAAAGCCTGTAGCGTAACCTAGGGGCACTGAAGGAAACTTGGATAAAGCCGGATACCAATAAAAGATTTCCCCAGGGATGAGCTGCTTAAGGACAGGATAGGTAGGATGGAAGAAAAAGGGGGTGAGTAGAGCCACTATAAGAGAACTGAAGTGGGTCAACGAAAGGCTCCGTTCAACTTGGGCTCCGTTGACGTACAGGCCAAGCCCGGCATATCGCGACAAGGGGAGGGGCAGTTGGAGCTGGCATCCACATGGCATGTCTAGCGAAATATATGAAAAACATGGGCTTTTACAGCAGCTGGGGGCACTGTAGGCGCGAAGAGGGAAGGGAACTAAACCTGCCGGAAACCAACTAGGAAAACAAGATCTCACCCAGGGGCTCAGTGGCCAACAGTTGTCTGCAGCGGGTCCAGCTGCATGCAGTTACGCAGCATGAGGCTGGCTAATAAAGAAGGAGGAGACAGCTCTCGTTGTAACATCGTGAATGATTGAAAATTCCTCACCTGTTACGCTTACACATTTTCTTTAGGGATTTAGACCACTTTTCCCACCATGCTCTTGCTGACACAGAGTTACGGCCTTCATCCTTTCCCCTATCGGACCATTCAGTTTTTTCCTTCTTCGTTCTGTTTCCTTGGTGAGATAAGGTTGTGGGAATTAAAAGCAATAACTGATCGCAGTGATGCACAGCCATTTGTTTTACTGAAGTTCGCTTTCTCTTTCTCGCTCACGTCCATGGACCGTAGACGGCTGGCAAGTTCACGGTAAATTCTCGGCCCCACGATAAGGAGGATGTTTGTCGGGCCTGATTATGTGAGCGGAATTGATTTTGTGTTTGGACGCCAGGACAGGTACCTTCTGTTTATTCTTTTCGGTCAGTTGTTCTTTTTGTGCACAGTTTTGTCTTGATTTCGACCACCTTTTGGCTGGACAGTGACTGAGACTCACTTTTCAAGGCATGATTTTTGCGCACATACGTTTTAACTCACAATTAGTGAAGCAGAGTTCCAGGTGCAGTCTTGTTTTCTATTGGGTTCCGCGTCGAATTGGGCTACGCCTTGCCTAGGTGTTCCGAGGCCTTATCCAGAAGGCGTCAAGTTGATTATTCAATGGATCGAGCAGAAAACAGACTTTACCCTGGCCAGGGCCTGTACATTTTGGTTGGTACACCCTCTCTCCCGGATTCATACATAACGCGGAGCCGTTAGGATTTCAAAAGTTAGTCGGAAGAACCACTGGGTAAAAGCAACCACGCAGCCCCAAGGGTCGCGCCAAGACTCAGCAAGGAGCCGAAGGAAATTGTGTTGCGTCCGCTCTGTATGAGACTTATTGTAGGCGAAATAAAGAGGGCACCGGGGAAGGTTTGCTGGATGCCGAGTCACAAAGCTGAAGAATGGAGAGCCATCTTGGTGGGGCCACTGAGACTGGCAGAGGAGTTTGCCCTCTGAGGGCGTTTAGCCGTGAAACCCAGCCCCCGTGGTGGAAGTCAAAAACCCTCAAGGCTTAATTTATTCGTGGACAGCGATGGACATGGAATGGTTATAGGTCAGTTAGGAACAGAGTTTAGGAGGTACAAAGAGTGGAGAAACATCCACTCGAGCGTAGGCTAGCAGCACCGGACCGCAAGAAGTGGAAGCAATTCTATGCTTACGTCCAATCCCAAAAGCGTATGACAGAAAGTGTAACGACTCAAAAAGAGGCACACAAGCCTTTAACTCTATGCGACGGAGGCATGGCCGACTTGCTGCTGGCGTTCTTCAAGAGCATATATCGACAAGCGAACAATTTATAGGGAAGAATGGAGAGATCACAGGCGCCTTTGGTACCCGAGCTTACTGCAAAAGATGCAGAGATGCACGCGGAGCTGCAAACCTTGAAGGGAAATAAAGCCGCAGGACTAGATAGGATTCACCCAGCCATCTCTCAGCCTCTGACCGGGGTCTTGAAGGCCCCGGTGTCGAAGCCGTGTGAAAAGTCACTCAGAGAAAGAACCCTACCGTGAGGCTGGAAGAAGGCAACAGTGGTGGGAATATACAGGAACTTACCCCGGAAAAAGGCATAAAATTACTGGACGGTTAGCTTAACTTCAGCGCTGAGTAGGCGCCTGAGGCGAACGAGTAGGGAATAGATCTCTCGTCATTTGGTTCAACATA